ACTGAAAGTGTAACATATGGAGGTTAATAGTGTAGTACAATATTTAGGATTAAATATGTTTGGGAATCTTAAATTTTTCAAATAACTTAGGAGTAATAGCCTATTAAAAACTATTTTGCCAAGATTCTACATTTGTTTGGAAATACCCATGTTTGCAAGCAGTTATTTTGTTATGAAACTGAATAAAAACTAAATCTATTCTTAATTAAATAGTTTAAAAATGAATGCTGTAATGCCTATCAAATATAAAATGTCTGGTATTGATAACTCAATACAGAAGTAAAAGTACCAAGTTTCTAGCCAAAACAAAGAAAAAGATTTCAAAAGAAAATAATTTATAATTAAGTATTCTAGTTTTCCAATTTCAATGTAAAATAATCATATATATGTATATATTATGCTGCATGCTTTTATAATAGTATAAGTTAGATATTTTTTAAATCTATTATATTTTTGCCAGCCTGCTTATTCAATGATAGAATACAAGAAGGATTCTTCTCTCAGCTTGGTTCTAATGAAGCTTACTGTCAGTCTACTCTGAGCACCCTCCAACCACCATGACCCTTGTTATCATTTAAAACTGTTCTAACTCCATAATCTCTGTTTCCCTTTAGTAACTCTGTATCTGTCTTATTTGAAGTCTGGCTAAACCTGAGCTTTGCAGTAAAGCCATCTCTACTCCTTCATCTTCCAATCTATTAGCTCTCCTTATTGGCTTCATTTTTCCACATATCAAAAGGCGTTCCATACTTCATTCGTCAAGTCAATACCGTCCTTGAGGATGGCAAAAGTGTATGACAAGAATTTCATCACTTACTGTTTTCTTTTTTAAAAATTATTTTAAAATTAATATTATACATTCACATAATTTGAATCCAAACAATTTCACAAGCTTGTTGCAAAAAACAAGTCCCTCACTTTGACTCCCCCCATATTTCTTTTTCCCCAGAGGCAATTGCTTTCAATTCCTGTAACTGATTCTTGTGGTATTTACCTCTATAGTTCCAATAATGTGCTTATATTTTTGTCTACATCTTGATCCTGCCTTCCCTGAACAGTTTTTAGGCATTTTCTTTTGACTTTTTAATAAGACAAAAATTTAGCTCCATCCCACATGCTCCTACATCTCCATCTTCCCAACTTGCCCATATAGTCATACTGTAAACACTTATCATTCATCTAATCAAAATCACTGTTACGAGCATGTATTCTGCCTAAAGCTGAACCATGAGATAATACTGATTACTTTTCCTTTCCTGAAGTTTTTACCCAAAATTGCAACTGCCTTGTTTCCTCATTATTATTCTTATTAACAATTTAGTTCTAAATTATTTACAAGTTATCTAAATCTCCTTCTTTAAAAAAAAGAAAAAGAAAAGAAAAAAATCTCTTCTAGAGCTTCAGGACATACTCTAAGTTGGACTAGCTGTCATTTGTGCCTAGTGTAGAGCTGCCATCCAGGGATTTCCCTTCACCTTATTCCTGTGTCATCTCCTTTCCAATATCACATCTTGTCTTCTTCTTAAAATTTACTTAAAATTTACTTCTTAAAATTTACTACAAAATTTACATTTTGGTGGAGAAAGTCCCTCAGCTGCTTTGTCAGAAAGGTTGTGAGAGAGGTACAAAGTTTTGAGAACTTGTACATAGGAAAACATCTTTATTCCACCCTTACACTAGATAGTCTGCTAGAGACAGAAATCCAGGCCATTTTCATTCAACATTCTAAAGGCATTACTAAATTGTCTTCTGGCTCCTAATGTTTCTATTCAGAAGCCTGGAGCCAAATAACTTCCTAATTGCATGTGACTGTTCCCCCTTTTCTCTGGAAAGTTACAGGAATTTGTCTTTGTTTTCTATGTTCTAAAATGTCGTAATGCTACACCTTGCTGTAAGTTAGCTTTACCCCATTGTATTATATTCAAAGGACCCTTTCCTTTCTAAAAAATTGTTAATATGAAAAAATATTTTGAAGGTTTTTTTAATGAAAAATAAAGGTAAAATTGATAAGTTTAATGAAAAGAAAACCTTTTTCTTCAAAAGGCAGCATAAAGAAATTAGAAGACAAGCTACAGGACACACTCTCCATATATCCCGGATATAAGAAAAGCTCTTAAAACCTAAAAAGATAAGCAACTTATTTTAAAAACGGGCAAAAGAATTGAATAGACATTTCACAAAAGTAGATCAGAGGTTGGGACATTTTTTACAATGAAGGAGCCAGAGTTAATACTTTATGCCATATAGTCTCTGTCATAATTACTCAATCCATATAGTCTCTGTCATAATTACTCAATCCTGCTGCTATACATGAGAACCGCCACAGATCACACATAAATGAGTGTGGCTGTGTTCTAAAAAACTATTTACAAATATAGGTGGTGAGCCAGATTTGCCTTGGGGGTTGTAGACTGTGAATCCCTGAAGAAGATAAAAGAATGGTCAAAAAGCCCATGAAAAAATACTCAAGATATGAATCATTAGGAAATGCAAACTAACATCTCCACAAGATATCAGTACATACACAGTAGCATGACAAATTAAAAAGACTGACCATATTAAGTACCATGTTAAACGTTTCCATATTTTTTTCATGCCATTTAATCTTTACAAAAATCCTATGAGGTAAAAGCTTTAGTATTATCATTTTACAAAATAAGATATTGAAGCTCAGAGAGTACAAGTGAACACCAGCACTGTTTTTGTAACCAATTTCTCCATGTGTAGTCTAATGTCATTTCTATTGGATCACACTACCTCTCCCTCTCTTCACTGCAATTTATCTGGGAAACAGAAATCTCGAATTGTTACTTCTACCTCTTCACTGTAATTACTACTTATTTCCTTAACCCATAATCTTTCAAAATCTGACTTCTGTCTCCATGTTCTATCAAAACAATTTTCCAACGAAGCCAATGACATTTAAATAAAAAACACACAAGTATCATTGTATCAAATGACATTTAAATATAGGGTGGGGAAAATGATACAGCCACTTTTGAGAACAGCTACCATATGACCTTAATTCAATACCTAGGTATACACCTAATACAACTGAAAACATGTTCACAAAAAATTGGTACATGAAATGTTCATAGCAGCATTATTCAAAATAGTGAAAAAATGGAAAAAAATCCATCAACTGAAGAATGAATAAACAAATGTGGTATATCCATATAATGGAATATTATTCAGCCATAATAAGGAATAAAGTAATAATTCATGCTACAACATGGATGAACCTTGAAAATATTATGCCAAGTGAAAGAAGTCAGTCACAAAAGGCAACATATTATATTATTTCACTTATATGAAATGTCCAGACTAGGCAAATATATAGAGACAGAAAGTAGATTAACGGTTGCCAGAGGCAAGGGAAGGGTAAAAAGGGAAATGACTGCTAATAGGTACAGTGTTTCTTTTTGGGGTGATATAATGCTCTGAAATTAGACAGTAGTGATGATTGTAGAATTCTGTGACTATACTAAAAACCACTGAATTGTATACTTTAAAAGTATAAATTTTATGACATGTGAATTATACCTGAATTTTAAAAACAAGAAAACAACCCACTTAGAATCCTATGCTCTAAATGTTTTTTCATTTTTGCATGCTTATTTAGCCCAGTCATTGGTCATTATACATATATGTAGATATCATTTTAATTCTCTTTTGTCATCAATCCAAAATCATTTTTCTATGCTGTTATACAATCACAATTATGTAATTTTATCTTTTATGGAAACGAAATATTCTACTAATAGACTACAATTTTAATATTGTTGAATCAATTGTTTTCATTTTTCCAATTATTAACAGTATATTTCCATAACTAGATCTAAGCATATAGTTTCCCTTTCTTTTTATGGTGTTTTCTTAAGGTAAGTTGCCAAGGGTAGAATTTTTATGGTTCTTGAAACATAATGCCAAACTGCTTTGCAGGTCTGATGAAAATTTATATCATTATCAGAAAAGTATGAGTAAACCAGACTTACTTCACCATAAAGTTACGAACATAAGGTGTCATTATTTTTTAACTTAATATATTATAAATAAAAATATGATAAACAAAACAAAGAAAATGTTCTTTCGCTTGGATGAATTTCTGCACTCTCTTTTGTTCTGCTGACACAATTACATGCTTGTGGTTTTATAACAGGTCTTTACATATGATAATGTTATATGTTCTTTCCTTGTCTTTTTTGAACTATTTTCTTATATACCTACTTAAATTTCTATGTGTATTTTAGAATACGTTTGACAAAGTATAAAACTCACAAAATTACTAAGGGATTTAAATATTCAGAATTCTCTAGGAAGTACTTTCAAGAGTCTCCCCTCAGAAAGGGATCCTTTTATGTTCTTTCCCACCATCCCATACATATCTATAGATACTACATATAACACAGCCTTCTACTTGTTACTCTTTTCTATTTCTTCTTGCGTGACTTTAAAAAACTAAATGAAAGGACCATCTCTTATCTTTGTATCCTAATTTACTGGCACATAGTGTATCAAAAAAAAAGTAGGTTGAATCAATGAATACATCAAAGACAGCACTTATATGAATCAAATAAGCAATTATTTTTTGGCATTATGTTAGAAAATGTTGAAAAAACAAAGAAGTAGAAAACACTGTCCTGCCCAGGGAAGCTAAAAACTAAAAGGAAGGGAAATTAAGAGGAGACAACTAATACATAATTTTGGAGACTATGTAGGATTATAACAGAGTAACAATTATGTAATTAATATTACTATGAATTTAATAAAGATGACAAAGAATTAGTATAGTAGAAGCTATGAAAGACTCTTGGAACTTGCGATGGGCAGTAAAGCACTAAGAGGATTTGGATAAGTAGGAAACAAAGGTATGTTACAGTGTTTGTGTAAAAACATGAACAAAGGCATGAAGTAAGAATCAGACGGTATATAGGAGTCATGTACCTATCCATTCTACAAACTCAATTATTCTATGCAGCAAAAAATTAATATATTTTTACCTGGAGTTCTCCAAGTTTCTTAGATGTTGGTGAAATAATGCTAAAAAATCCACTGATGTGATGAGTTGGAGAAAGCTTGGCTAATCCACTTATCTGAACTCTACCAATTGGAAGATGATCAAGTTTGGTGATTACTTCCAGCACCAGGACAGCCATATCTAATCAGAAACAATTACAACATTTTTACAATATTTTTCATTTATATTTTGGGGGAACTGTACAGAGGGGTATACATTAGAACATTTTTTTACTTAAAAAAATATTTTATTTTCAAATAAACCATGCACTTACCATATCATTCAGGGGGGAAGGAGATTGAACCCAAGATCAAAAGAATAGTAAAGTTTTAGAGAAGAACAATGACAAATACCTCACATGGAGAAAAAAATTACATTCAACAAAAATATTTAGCATATCAAGTATCTGATAAGGAAAGTATCTTTAAAACCATTTTTTCTTTCTTTCTTTCTTTTTTTTACATATTTGGCAAGAAAGTAGGCTTTGCTTTTGAAATATAAAGGCAACAATTCTCAGTTATTCTATTCTCACCATTTCTAGTTCTGAATTGGACAAAGGGCTTCTCTTATATAGTTGCAAGGGTTGGTCTTTGCCTCTCAGGAGTATCTCATTGCTTACTCCTTGATTATATCTGGAGCACTGAAATACTGAGAGCACTTGGAACTAAGAGGAATGGAAATAACCATATTCTTTAATTAGGTGCTTGGACTTAATACCTTCATGATCATAACTTACAGCAGGAGAAATATGATGCATACATATGAAATGTGAGATTGTTTCAGGACAGTATAACTTCTGAATTATTTTCTCACCAAAGTTGAGAAAATGGTTCATTTTCACTATCTGTTCAATATTGTAATGAAAAAAGTACAGGGCTTATAATTAGAAGACCTGCAATTGTGCTGTGGCTCCAATATTCACAAGCTGTTTCTGTGTAAGCCACAGTTGTCTGTAAAAGAGACATAATATCTACATCACGGCTGTTAGAGGAAGAGGGGTATTCCAAATAAAACAAGTAGCACAATGTCCTCTCACACGGTAATTGCTTAATGGTTGTTATATTACTTCAGGCAAATTACTTAACATATCACAGTCCCTGTCTTACCTACTCATGGAATTTATCTGAAAATCATGAGCTGATAAAAGTGTTTGTAGACTATAAAATGATGTGCATATGTAGAATAAGGAAAATGTACCAACATTTATTGGTTATTTACCAATAGCCAGGCTCTTCTACGACTCATTCATTCTCTTAACAACTCTATGAAGTAATTATTTCTGTCCCAAATTGAGGACAACATTGAGGCTCAGAGAGGTCACGTAACAGTCCTGAGTTTACTCAGCTTTAAAGTGACAAAACTGGGCTAACACTTGGTTCTATCTAACTATAAAGTACACTACATCATGCTGCTTCATTATTTGTTACTTCTAGGGAGAAAAACTTAATTCTTAATGGGCTTCTGACATCTGTACTTCACTTTTGCTGTGGAATTAAAATCCCTCTTATCCAGCATACTTTTCACCCCTCCTTTGTTTCTTACTGAATCCTGATTAAAGGCGGCAAAAATCAGGAGATAAAGCTCAGTGAAGTATCATAATTGTCTCAGTTTCTACTCTTATCTTCCCACACTCTACACATTTTCATGGCTGCTATTTCCTATGAAGGAATAGAGTAAGGGAGGAAAGATGTCAGAAAAGAGCATGAGGTATACCTTAGAATCCTATGATCCCTCTATTTCCCAAGGCAGCAAGGCATAGCAGAAATATTAATGATCTTGGAGTCAGGGCATATTTTAAATTAGGGTTGGTTTTAAGGTGACTTTAAGTAAGTCACTTTTAACTCCAAAACTCAAATTCATCACCAAGAAAATGAGGCTAATACCCACTACAAATGTACGGGACCTCACAGCATGCATTCTAGTACTTCCAGTGGTTTCTCTCATTCCTCTTACTGTATTTTCACTTTCCTTAAACAAAAAATTCTTAAAGTGGGGTTATTTATCCAATAAATGTAGTTCAAATCAGTGAAAATTAAGCATTTATCATGTAAATATTGTTGGGCTAAGAATACTAGAGAGCCCGAGGTGAATTAAAGATGAATAGGTTAACTCCACCATCCAAAATGTGTTATGTGAAAACTTGACCTAAACAGAGAAATAACAAAGTACATTTAGAATGCTTTCCTTGAACAGAAATACAGAAATTCTGGCTCCTAGATCCCTGTGGAGGGATCTTTCCCTTCTTTGAAAACCTGTAGTACTAATTCACTAAACCATTCATTAGGCAGTTAGCCTGTATTACCTTGTACTATTAAATTTTATATCTATATCCTCTTCCCTTGAGTATAATGTATATCCCAGAACAGAGACTACAGTTATTACTTAGAAAAGCATTATGTAGTGAAAAGTTCATGAGTTTTGATATCAAATAGAAGTCGGTTCAAATCTTAGTTTGTCACTTATCAAATATGAAACCTTAGAGAATATTTGTTTCATCTCTCTGAATTTCAGTTTCATTGTCCATAAAACAGAGACAACGTGTATCTTGTAGGGTTATTAAGGATTAGAAACGATATGTATTAATTACTGGTACATAATATACTCTTAATAAATGATAGCTATTATAAAACCTCTTTGACTCCTCAATAATTATCAATGTCATAGATACTAAGTACATGATAGCACCTATTGCTAACAACAGAACCACATGTTTATTAGGTCTGCAGGTGAAATGATAAAACAAAACCATACCTGTTAGATAAGAGGTAAACTGCTTTGGACCACAGCGAATAGCATAACGTGTAGTTGTTCTCACAGCTTTTGGTTCAGTCTGCAATGTGTCCCTGGGACAAAAGAGAGTTCCATCTGATGTTTCTCCCCACCATCTCACTCGGACAAGTACACAAGAGGGAGGCTTTGCAATCTTCCATACGACTTTATTAACAGTAAGTTTCAGAAAGCAGCGTAGCTGGCCTTCAACCAGAGGTGGTAGGCTTGTAGATGGAGAAATGTCACTCAAACCTGTGGAAGAATCCAAGAACACTTGGATTTAGTCAAAATTTAGACTAAATATAGAAAACGTATAATCTGCTTTTTGAATGAAAACACAAAAACATTTTAGTTTCTACAGTGAGCAGTCTTATCCTATCTATTCGAATACATGATAAATAACTAGCAAACCACAGAATAATCTAACTGGTCACTTAAGCCACCCTGATAACTAATTAGTATTTAGGGTTTGATTTCAGTTATTATACATAAATAACATACAAACTTAAGACATGCTAATACAAACCTCTCTTTGATTGAAAGCTACCATTTGAAAAATACAAATACAATGATAGGTTTTTAAAATCTCAGAAATAGTTGAAATTCTTCTTCCAAGTACTGGTGTTTTGATTACTGCAACATCTATAGTTTTTCAGATGTTTTACCTAAGTCTCTTACTTTAAAACTGCTAAACATAAGACAACTCCCCTTCACTCAACTCTCAAATGATTACGTCTATACCATACAACTCAGCATTTCAATAGTCTACCTTAAATTGTCTTTTTTCTTTCCTGCTAACTTCATACAATCAATGAGGACAGAGATTATCACCTTCGGATTCTGCACTATTTTTTAGCACAATGCTGGTTCATATTTACTGGTTTTTATAACATTTATTGGCTTTCAGAAAGAAAATAAAATGTAAATAAGGCAATTAATTATGGCTTTCTATGAAGCTTTCCTTTAATGTATCTTCTAACTAAGACAGATTTAAGAAATCATTCTTACATTACACACACTTTTCTATTCCTCCGATTTTTCCCTTGGGTAGTAGTTGTGCCTCAAGAAAAAAAATACTGGAGTCGATCAAATCAAGAATCTATAGAACTAATTCTTTGGATTTCTGAAGTGAACACCGTCTGCTCTTTATAGTTATCTTTATGGAATAACTAGTTTCAATATAAAAATTATACTAGTGTATACATGAATATTAGTGCATATGCATAATGGTATAGTTCTATTTTGATTTTTCTTCTATCAACCAAATATGCTTGACTGGCTTGACACCGGGAGCACCTGCATTGACCACTTTCAAGTTCTGTTTCACATCCTCCCATCATTCCTAGCAGGAAAGGTACTGCCTCAAACCTGCCTTAGTTATTTTTAAACAGCTTGGATAAAATTCATTCCCAGACTGTAGCTTCAGTTCTCAACCCAAGGGCCTAAGTACTATCACTATTCCTAATACCTCTTTGCATATAATGTAATAAGGCAGCAACCCGATTTTCTGAGGCAGCCCAGTAGAGATTCAATTTCGTTTCCTGATCTGCCCTGTGTTCTTAGGGTGACTATTTCTGCTGCAGCAAACATTTCCCTACTCTCTTGGTGAGCTTGTTTCTTCAGGAGCTTACTAACTTGAGGAGGTCCTCTTGCTACACTCTTTGTTCATCTCAAATCCTTCAGAGGTCTTCATGACCTCACCCCGCCCCCCACTCCAACCCTACCTACCACACCGTGTCACTCCTCATTCTTTCTTCCTCTCTCCTTCACAACTATCTTCCTCAGCTCCCACCTGTAGCTCTTAATGCTCCACGACTGTCTCATACTTCACTCATTCAACTAATATTTACTGAGTCCTGCTTCGAGCTATTTCTCAGGGATTCAGCAATGTATACAGTATGATCCTTGTCTATTAGGATTAATAACATATTCTTCTCTCCAACTTGTTTCTTCCAACCCTACATGGACCCCCACACACAAACGTTTAACTTCGTTATCGAAAACACTAAGTCATAGGGATATAATGTACACCATGGTGACTATAATTAGTAATCGTGTACTGTATATTTCAAAGTTGCTAAGAGTGTATCTTAAAAGTTCTCATCACGAGAAAAAAAATTTTTTTAACTATGTATAGTGATGCATGCTAATTAGACTAACTACGGTGATTTCACAATACATACAAATATCCAATCATCATGTTGTAAACCTGAAACTAACAATGTCATGTCAATTAGATCTCAATTTCCAAAAAGTTAAAACAAATTTCTAGAATTTCTTCTTCTCTTCCTCTAGAAGCGTCCTACTTCTACCCTTTTGGTTCTCCCCGCCCCCCACTCATTTGTCCAGTATGCCCTCCACTGCAGCTCGTATTTCCTTTCCATTTGCTGGAGAGCCAAGTGCCCTCCCTCTTGATCCCCTCCGTCCCTTTTCTTTTTCTCTCTCTTTTTTTTTTATCGCTGGTGTGGGCTCCCTAGAATTTCTTACACCCTGCTCCCCAACTCTGCCCTATTACGCTTTTCTCAACCTTTAGTCGCTCAGGTTACCTCTTTTCCTGCGGCCATAGCCGCCCCCTGGCCTTTGGCCTTTTCGTTGTTTCATGATGAGGCCGAGCTTTTCTTCACGGATTCAACTCCGGCCCCAGCACCTAAGCCGTAGCCTCCCGCCATTCCCTCCCACCGCGCCTGCGTTCCCCGGCAACCGGCACCGCCGAGCAGCCTGGGAGGCAGGAAGAAGCAGCTTTTCCTCTAACAGTCTCCGGGAAACCGTAAGAAGGGAAGGCGCCAAGACGCCTTATCGCCAAAAGACTACAACACCCAGGATACTTTGCTACAGTACCTCTGCCGGATTGGACGCTCTCGCCTCCAGCTGCGCAAGCGCAAAGGCATACGCCCTTTGAAGACTCCATTGCCCAGGGTGCATTGCCTTCAGGAGGGCTTTTTTTTTCGGCGAGTGTTGTCGAGTTCTCTTCTTGGGGTCTGATGGGTCCGCAGACTCCGTTACCCAGCTTCCTTTGTGGAGCGCTATTACGCATTTCCTGTGGAACCGCCTGAGGAGAGTGGGTGGAGTTTACGGAGCCGGTGGGCGGTAGGCGGTGCTGCCGGTAGCTGGGTGCTGTCCAAAGGCGACTGGGCTACGCTAGGGGAGCGAGCTGTGACCGGTTGGGCCGCACTTACCGTGGAAAGAAGCTTCAGCTCCTATTTGGCTACCTACGGCCTCCCCTTCATGTCGGCCCTCGAGAAGAGCATGCACCTCGGCCGCCTGCCCTCTCGGCCCCCTGTACCCGGCAGTGGGGGTAGTCAGAGTGGAGCCAAGATGCGAATGGGGTACGTGACCCATACCCCTTCTCCCTAGAGTCCAGGCCCCGGCCATTGGAGAATGGTGTCTTTTGGTGTTTAATGTTGCACAGAAAGGGAGGCTAAGGATAGAAGAGAATATTGGCGGCGGCCTGGAGACGTTTAGATGGAGTAGAAGGCAGATTTGGACGCTAGGGGAGGCGCCGAGTCAATGGAAATTGGAGGACAAATAGTATTGACGGGAAAAAGGAATAAGGCAAAAATTGAGGAAGCCGAGAGGGTAATTTAAGAGATACAAGAAGCACCTCCAGCAGAAGAGATGTTGGAGGTTTGAAGAAAGGGAGTAGAGCAGTAACAAAGGTTGGGAAGATCTGTCAAAGAGGGTTGATGGAAATGAGGATAACTGAGAAAAGTTAAGGGGAATTAGGGGAAACAGCCATGGAAGGCTTTGGGAGGAGTAAGAATACTGAGAACTAGTTATTAGAAAAGCAGAGGAAATTAGAGAACACCTGAGGCAGGGTTGGAGAAGGAAAGTGAACTAGGGAGCAGAAGGTTCTAGAGAGTTCCTAGAGATGTAAGAGGCAGATTCAGAGAGTCAGGGGGTGACTAGGAGAACTGAGGAAGCTTGGGGAACAGGCATAAGGAATGATGGAGAACATAGCCAAGAAGATTGTTAGAGGTAATAAGAAATGTGACGAGCAGTGAGGGTAGGAAACAAGGGGAGTGATGAGGGAGAGGGCCGAGAAGCTTAGAGAGTGACCGTGGGATTTAGAAATTGAGAAATGACTGAATATGGTTTAGTAAATGGAAGTGATGCTACAGAGATAAGGTCTGGGAAGCTTAAATAGGAAGATTTGGGCAATTGATTTTTGCTGGGCAAATAGGTCTGATGGAAGTTATGTACTGGTAAGTCTCAGAATTAATGAAGCATTGAGAGTAGCCACTTAAAGTGTTTCAGAGAAACCATTTACTGGGAAGAAAGCTGTATTGAAGAGATAGACTTTTGGAATTTTAGGTTGAATGGCTTGTGCCAGGTTAGGGGATACTTAGATGCAAGAGAGAGCATAATGAGTTGAACGTGGGAGAGGTAATTGCTGGAAAGCAGAGAGAACTGAATAGGCAGTTGAATTTGAGGGGTATTTATAGTACCAGACAGGATTCTGGAGATGAGTTACTGTAAAGAGAAAAGAGGCAGGAAGAATACTTATGTATAAGGTAGTCAAGAGTGTGTGTTTGGGATTCTAGAAATGGGCTGGTAGATGTTCTTAGAATAAGGACTAGAGAGAAACCTTAGTTTCTGTGAAGAAGTAATATGTACAAAAATTGATCAAAAAGATGAGGTTAGGAGATGTAGTACTGTGAAAGTAGTTCCTAGGAATGAAGAGAAAGGAGAATCCTATAAACTAGTGAGATAGGAAGTGGTGAGAATGGTTGGAAAACCCAGGGAAGGAAACTAAGAATTGAATTGTAGACCTGATTATGATACACAGTAAAAGGAAGAAAACCTTGACAGGAGAAATAGGTCAATAGATGCACAATAGAAAGAGGTGGTAAAAGTCCACATTTAAGGTAAAATGAAGGTTGTTTGGGCTTTGAAAGACAGGAGAGGACTGTAACATGAATAATATGGAAGATCTGGAAACTGATCTATAACAGATTGGGAAAATTAACCTGTAGTATAAAATTAATGTAACATTTATTGTTGATCTGTATCTTAATTGCTGCCTATCTTAACCTAAAATTTGATCTTTTAGTATACCAGCACTTTTCAGTAAAACTGTACAAAAATTTTAGCATTTTAATAACTACACATGCTTCAAAGTTTAATTAGAACTCAGCTTATCACTTCGTAAAAACAAGTTCCCTGAAGATAAAGAACCGAAGAAAAATACTAAGAAAGGGAAAATCCGCTGGGTAGAAGATTGTATCATTAGTAGCTTATCCTCTTTAAATAGATGCTTTGGTCTTCTTAATTTAGATTAACTGCTTATCTTGGAAAATGAAGTTCTTTAGAAAGATGCTTCTTTATAATATTGTGAAGAGAAAAACATGTATTGGTGAATTTTATGTGGTCCTCAAGTGGCTTATTTTCCTGTATTTTTCTTTTCTTCTTATTGGAACATTTAGATTAACTGCTTATCTTGGAAAATAAAGTTCTTTAGAAAGATGCTTCTTTATAATATTGTGAAGAGAAAAACATGTATTGGTGAATTTTATGTGGTCCTCAAGTGGCTTATTTTCCTGTATTTTTCTTTTCTTCTTATTGGAACATAGGCAGTCCTCGTCTAAGTCTAATGTTAATGATAATACAGATTCTCTCCTCCCTAGAATCATAAAGATGGAAAAGAGCTTTGAAATGATCTCATCTCATTACTTCACTGGATAGTTGAGGGAACTGAGACTCAGAGAATTCTGTATTCTGTAAGGTAAACTAAGAGGCAAGGGATGATATTTTGCCTTAATAAATGACAAAACTGAAACTTAACTCTTCCTCCAACTGAGGCACCCTAGAAGCTTAGTGGTAGAGCCACTAAGGACTAGGACATGGGTCTCTTGACTCAGAACTATTGTGTCATTTTGGATTCATAGTTGTTATCCTGGGAATACTTAATTTGAGTTTTGTATCTTACTCTTTTGCAAATACTCTAGGATTCAGTCTTTTTCCTCATTCCTGATTTATGAAGTCTCACTTCCACCAGTTTCAAAGCATCCTTCTCTATTTTTCCTTCTACTCACTTCCCTTTTGTTTTTGTTTTTGTTTTTGTTTTTGTTTTCGTTTTTTAAATCTTACCACCTTTTCCCACTGCCCCATCTATCTCTTACTCTCAAGTTGGGCCTGTTCGTTTGACAATCTGTTACATGACTTACTCTTAGTTTTCATAATCTCTTGCCCTCAATTTCACTAAACTTTATTTAGATGTGTTTGCATATTCAGGGTGGTTTTGAGTTTATTGATTTTTCTTGAGTTTCCATAATTTCGTTTTTCATATTGGATTTAGTAATTCCAGAGTATTACTAGATAATGTAATAATAATAATTACTTATTTTCCTAAGTATTGTGTGCCAGGCATTGTAGTAGTAGCTTTATGTATTCTATTTCATCTGTCCACAACCTTACAAGGTAGATATTTCTCTGTATACGGAAATTCAGACTCTGAGATTAAAAATCATCCAACTAGCATGTGGCAAAACTAGATTCAGTGTTAGTCTCTAGAATCCATTCCCTTTTCGGAACACCAACACTTTCTCTGCAGTAAGGCCTGAAATCCTGGTTTCATTGTTCCTTGATAGATGCCAGTAGATGATACCCAAAACAGTGATTTTGAACTTCCTTATTAAAGCTTTTGGAGCTACTTCGTTTTTCCTTCTTGCGAGGGTATCTTAGTCCATTAGGGTTGCCATAACAAAAATGCTGTAGACGAGGTGACTTATAAACAGAAATTTATTCCTCACAGTTCTGGAGGCTGGGAAGTCTAACATCAGAGAACTGGCAGATTACGTATGTGGCTAGGACCCCTTTTTGGTTCATAGTTGGCAGTCTTCTTGCTGTGTCCTCACATGGCAAAAGGGAGAAGGGAACTTAGTGGGATCTCTTTTATAAAAGCACTAATCTCATTCATGAGGGCTATATTCTCATGACTTTGTCACCTTCCCAAGGCCCCACCTCTAAATACTATCACATTAGACATTAGGATTTAACATGAATTTTGGGAGACACAAATTTTTGGTCTATACAACACCTGGTGTGCTTGAGAGGAGTGTGTTTTGAAAAATCACTGCTTTAGTACATTCCAATACCATTAGATTAGATTACTAAAACTATTTTTCAACATGTTTTTGGTTTATCAGTAGTACTACATTTTTATAATTATCTCCTAATTTCTACAGTGCTTTAACTAACATGTATATATTAGTGCCTATTTGTATTTTCTATGAGGTAAATTAGTTCAAGGGTTAATATTTTCTCTTAATGAGAAAACGCAAGTGTTCATTGACTTGCCTAAGATTATAGAATCCTTAAGTGGCAGAAACAAGATTCAAACTCTGACTTCAGATTTTTGGTCCATTATTCTTGTTGTACCCTGGTGCAAAAAGATTGATGTTTAAAGTTATATAGATCTAAGTTTGAAGCCTAGCTTGAGTATTTACTTTGGCCAACTCATTTAGACTCTTATTGTGTTTCTTATCTCTAAAATGGGGATATTTCTGCTTACCTTAGAGTGCTATAAGAATGAAATAATACATGACAAGTATTATGCTTCCTGACACAAACTCTTAAGGAATGTTAGCTAGTAAATTATTTTATATTGAGAACTGTGAGAAAGGCTTATTCTTTATGAAGTAGCTCTCCTTTCAATCTGTTATAATGTCAGCTTTCGCCCCTCAAGTTGTGTATTCATACCTGATTAGATAACCGTTTTTCATCCTCTTAAGTTTATTATAGATATTGGGCCTCAGGATAGCTTTAAGGAGTTATTCACACAGATAGAGAAATAAAGGGCAAAGTGAAGTGATTTGCTGCAAGTCACATATTGAATGACTAGAAGAATTCAATTCTAGTATTTGTTTTAGTTATTAATTTAAAAAAAATTGTTAGAATTCATATATCGTAGAATTCACCCTTCTAGAGTGTACAATTCAGTGGTTTTTAGTATATTCAAGGTTGTGCAACCATCACCACTAATTCCAGAACATTTTCATCATCCCGCAAAGAAACTACTTCCCTGTTAGCAGTCTCTACCCCTTTCCTTAGCCCTGGTAACCACTAATCTACTTACTGTTTCCATGGATTTGCCTATTCTGGAGATTTTATGTAAATGAAATTATATAATATGGCCTTTTGTGACTGACTTCTTTCACTTAGTATAATATTTTGAAGGTTCATCCATGTTGTAGTATGTATCAGTACTTCATTCCTTTTTATTGCTGAAAGATATTCCATTGTGTAGACATACCACATTTTATTTACTCATTTATTAGTTGTTAGACACTTGGGTTTTTACTTTCCATAGAACTCCCTTTTCATCCAC